AAAAAAAAAAAAAAAAAAAAAAAAAAAAAAAAAAAAAAAAATTATAGTGAATTTAACAAAGTTACAGAATCTCACAAATTTCTTACATTAATGATTCCTTACCTGCATTTTCCAAATCTCATCTGAGATGTTAACTGTGAGTTATATTGACCTTTGTCATCTCATTTTCCTCTTAAGATTGAGGTTCACCAAACCTCTCCTATACACATGCCCTCCCATCTGATCCTGACTTTAGATGCAATTGCTACTTGAATCTATAATGAAGGCAAAATAAAATGTATCTATCAGGTAACCATTGTGTATCTTTCTGGCCTTTATGGACTGACACCCGTTCCATCAAACCTCTGTGCCAGCCAGTGAATGACGTGCCCCCACAGATTTCATCATAATAGTCAACGCAGGTTAACAAGAGTGCTAAGGATGAACATATAGGGAAAATGAAAGTGTAAAGAAAAGAGTAAAGAAAGGAGTCTAACATCTTTTCCTGCCTCCACAGATACCAAGTGCTATCTGCTTCTTCACATGTGTTTTTTCATCTAATTCTTCCATTAACTTTACCTTCCTTTTATGGGTAAGAGAAATGAAAACTTAGATTGAGCATTAAAATTTGTCAAATATCACACTTACTGAGAAGTGGAAATCCCAGATCCAGTTGAATCCAATTTCCAAATTCTACTTATTTTACTATGCCACTTTATAAAGTGACAGTTACTGAATAGCTTTCATTGACCATTTATTATAATTAAAAAACTATGTTAACTCACTTAATCTTGACATTTCTGTTATGGAGTGTTACCCCTATTTAATTTATGAGACAATTGCCATGTAGAATAGTAAAACAATTCATATAGCTAGTAAGTGTCAAAGCTAGGATTTCAATTCAAGCTTTCCCAGCTCCAAAACTTACATGCTTTTTCTGATGATTAGAATCTTGGACCAAAATCTAAGGATTAGGAGAAGGAAGGATCCCAGGGATACAAACACAGAGGAGGCAGTGAGGAAAAAGGAATAACGCTAAAATGAGTTTCAATAATGAGAGGATGGTCAGTGCTGTCATTCCTGTCAAGAAATGGAAAATGTCCTTTGGATTTATTTGACACCTAAAGACCAATAGCAACAGAAACAAGATTGAGGTGAGAATTGGAGAGTAAGGAGGGAAAGGGAGATTATGAGATAATGCAACTTTTAGAAGCTTGACTTAGAAGATAAAAAGAGAAACAATGTTGGAAAAAGAAGGCAAAATGGAGTTAAAGAAGATACTTTATTTGCTTGCTTTAGGAGAAAGGAGAACTTTATCTACAAGTTGAGGTGGTAGAGATGATTAGATAGATGATACAGTGAGAAATAGAATAATCAATAGAGAAGTATAGAAAAAAACATATTGCCATGTTTTTACCTAGGCAACAATCCCGCATGTTCTTTACGTGTACCCCAGAACCTAAAATGCAATAATATATATGTATATATTTAAAAAAAAAAATAAATCCAAAACTCTAACATGAGATTAGGAATTTGCCTTGATTGAGAGCAAAGGGACCATTTTTATTGAAACAGGAGGAAGAAAATGGCATAAATGGAAATGAATTTGAAGCCATCAGAAGGTAAGAGTGAGGGTAGGGTCAGGAAGGTGAGAGCTTAGCCTTAATGCTCCTTCCAAAACCAGAGGCAAGGCCGTTTGCTGAGAGAGACAGAGTCAGCAGGCTTAAGGATTTAGTGACTATGATGAGAACAAACTGTAAAGAACCAGGAAACAATCCTATTAAGATTGAATGTTGTCATATATAAATGGCTTTATGATTTAACATAGCAGATACAAATGTTAACATTTCATATAGCATTATAACTAAAACTCAAGAGTCTCTAAAAGCAAAAATGTTTATTTTAAAGTCAACAGTTATTTCTACCTGCACAGAAACACACATCTCAAATTGGAAATAACCATTACAGAACATAGGTCTGTCAGTTACTCCCCCTCATAATAATTTACATTCCTCTTGCATCTATATTAATCATCTTTCCTACACAATGTTATCTTGGCAGTCCCTAAAAAGCATAAAGAATTCATGCTTTTATTCAGTGCCATGTGCCAAGCCATTTCAAATATATTTGTGTTCTGGAGAAGCTAATTAGACTACATAGAAGCTAAATAGACTACAAAAATGTATGATGCCAGGTTGTATATAAGCAGGGGTTAGAGCATAGAAAAATCAGACTGACCCTCTTAAGATATTACTAAAGTAACATATACCAAGATCATCATTGTCATGGGAGAGTTGTATTTCTACCTAGAGTAATATTGTTCATGAACAACTTCAAGAATTATGCATTAAGAAGGATGCACAGGAGAACCAAATTAGGATGTTGAGGATAATAAAATACAATCGTCTTTTACAGTAAATATTAACCCTAAAGATCTGTTCTAGGTTTAGAGCTGTTTTCAATTCATTATTGTGTTTATAATGAGCAGAGATGTTTTATTCTTTGAATAAGCGCCAATGAATTTCGCTCTGAAAGGCAAAATATATAATCAGTCTCAAGCTTCCCCTCTCTATCGCCTACACTGGAACTTTTCCTTCTGCCTCAAGGAGTTCAGTGGACCAGGTCTACTCTGTGCATAGTAATATGGGAAAATGGATCATTTAGAAACCTGCCAGCACTGAATACTGCACTAATCTGACATCAGTTTCTTGAATAGAAACGTTTAAGCAGCAAGAAAATATTCTGTGTTTTTTGGCAATCACCAGATCAGATAGAAGACTCTAGCAATACAACAAGGATGTGTAATCTGACATGATTAGACAAGGCTCTTTAGTACCAGAACATTCATAATTGAGACAAAGAGTATTAATAACACTTTCCTAACACGGCAGTTAGCCATTTTATATTTCCTTTCTTTAATCTTAGTGTTTTTCAACAAATCATGGGATTTAATAGCGTGTTTTGGCAGATTAGAGGATTTATGGCCCAGATGTTTTTTGTTCTAAAAATGGATTAGGGTGTAAAGTTTGCTGGAATCCATGGAACATGTTGAGGCAAGCCGGTCATTTTATGTGTGATTAGTGCCTGCCTTCTGTCTCACAGTCCCTCCATCTGTCACAATTCACCAATGGATCTGGTTAGATTTAGCCTCGTGTCACAAACAAGTCCCTTTTCTGGGCAATTTCATATTACAGATTCATTTTATGCCATTTTATGCCCTAGTTAAAAGATAGGGAGAGAAAAAGATGAGATATTAGCTTTTCTTTAAATGTTTGCAAAACATTTTTTTCCATCAATATTCTATTCTAAAATCATGCAGCTCATCATACTAACATGCATCAAATAAATAAATGACCAGTGTTAAAATTAAGTTAAAAATTAATTTTGGTTGTTACACCTGTTATTCTGTAAAAGCAATATTTTGGTAGTGTGTGTTACTAACCATGGACTGTGGAGTTACATACATAAGCTGATCATTTGGCCATCTTACTAAGAGTGTGAATTAAGTGTGGCTATAGTTGAGAGTAGCCACAGTTTCCTATCAAACAATTACAGGTGCTTGGTTACATTCTGTGCTTGAAATTTAGCCTATTACAAGTTTGCTTCCATAGCAAACCACTGCCACCTGTGGTTTATTTCACCATAAATGGATTTAGGAGGAAAATGCTCTTCAGTCAGTTAATAATGATTTATTTCTTCTGTATATAACAAACCTAATAGTGCTATACAGACCCTCTTAAGTGGTCTTTCCACTACTAGGAGAGACTCAATAATCATGGTTATATTTATGAATACCTAAATTCTATGCTAACATTCAAACGTTCCTTGCAGGAAAAAAAATTAAAAATGGGTTTTTTATTTGCACTACAAAGTAATATTCGAATAATAAAGCATTTACTTAAAAATTATATTTTTAACTTATTTCAAAATAGTTGGAAACAACCATATTTCACACAGATATTATATTTTTATTCCAGATATTTGAACATATTAGAAACATGTTTATATATGGCATGTTTGACTCTGTGAATTAGTCATTGTCAATTATTTATTTATTCATGTTAGGTGAATTGCATGGAGAAATCATTATAGGTTGGACAGTAGCTGTTACCAAAAGAAGAAGTGATTTTTATGGTTAAAGGCTAGCGTAGACATGCATTCATACAAAAGATGTCCTTTGATCTGTCTCATTTTCAGGTTACTTAAATGACCACGATGCTGTCACCAAGGCAATCCAAGAAGCTCGGCAAATGAAGGAACAACTTAGACGGGAACAACAGGTGCTTGATGGGAAGGTGGCTGTTGTCAATAGTCTGGGTCTCAATAACTGCCGAACAGAAAAGGTCAGTTCATAAAATAACTTACTTTCTAAAAATATTTAAATTGCCTAATGCTTTTAAAAAAAAAACCTTTTCATTGTCTTACCATCCTCAGAATGATGGTTCTCTGTCCCTTTTTTTCCTCCATCACTTCAGAAGGCCTCATTGTCATCCTAATCAAAACCATCTGGAAATGGGAAGAGTTATAATTCTCTTTATCTATCTCCAAACCTTATTGACAGTGAATATCCCCTTTTATGCCACAGCTTGTATCAAAACAAAATGGCATTTGAAATATCTGAGTCTGACTAAAAGTTTTGCTTTTCAGAGATGCTTAACTTGTATTTGGGGATGAGCTGGATTTGAAATGCTGAATCTTCTTTAATCAGCATAAGCTTGGATGATACCCATGCTCATATTCTAAGTATTTAGGATCCTGAGCTTGTCATAATATGTTTCTAGTGCAAAGCACTGTCAAGTGTTAGACAAGTTCGCAACTGGAAATTTTGTCTTTATCATAAAACAAAATGTATTTATTAAAATTTTGACATTATTTGTATTATAACTAAGGCCAGTAAAATGTCTGAATTTGTCTGAGATACAATGATTTCAAGCCCTTTTGTCTAAGCATACATAGTATTTTATTTAGAAAGATATTATAGGTTGTAAAGTCATCAGAATTATGTACTTTTGGAATATCTGACATGTTTTGAATTGAAATTTTAGAATGTTACCTAGTCCCCTTTACAGAATCCTCTAGATTCAGTAGATAAGAGAAAAAATGATCAGCTGCTTAGCAATAACTGGAAAGCTAATCATAATGGGAAGCTTATGAGTCAAACAGAATTGTCTAGAATGAGCAGATTGCTAATTTGGATAGCTTTCTAGTTTCTCAGGTTTTATATGGAGTTTGATGTATAATCACTAAAAAGCTGGCAATCTGCATAGTGAAGGTGAAAGATAAGGGTGATCCTGTCACAACTGCTGTTTCCCTGGTCCTAATATGGTAAAAGTGGAGGATGGAGAAATGATTTCAGTTCTATTGTGTGTCCAGAGGGGAGAGCAAAGCATGGATCAGTATACATCCCTTGCAGTCTTACAACATAAGACGTATGACATTGGTGTCCTGAGAAGGGCACATTTTTATAGCTAAGCACCAAAAGGAAGGGGGAAAGCAAAGTGACAGTTCTAAGAAGGAATGATAGCAAGCATAAAGGAATTTATATTCAAATATTTAAACATTCTTGAAAGGATGCTTAAACAGAAATTCCTTTTCTCTGCTCCCCATGTAGAAATGAGTTTAACACTCAGCCAGATGCTAATGCAAAGTGACTCAAGCTATTCCTCGCAAGCATAGCTAAATTGCCGTTATTTGTTAAGCGCATTGAATTCAGCTGTGGATACAGCAGTTGGTTGCATTCAGCAAGCATCTGTACCCTTTTTTTTTTTAATCCTCCAAAGCAGAGACAACTCTACCTATCTCCCCCCTCTCTTCCCCAGTGCTGGCTGGGAATTGTCAAGTGACAACCGACCAAATCCTTTTGGACAGGAAGCCTTCATCCTGAGTTCTGTATACTTGTAAAGCAGGCCTTGTGGCTGGATCAGGGAGCCCATTAAAAGTACTTTGATGGTATGGAAATTCATCTTCATGAAGCTCCTAGGCCCCTAAGCAGCGTGCTGTTTAGCTGTGGTTACAGATCAGTCATTCAGATCGGAGGGCAATAATTGTGCTGACGGCTTGTAAGGCAATGGAAGTACATAAAATAATCCCGAGACCTCCGCCATGGCACTGTGAGTTAATCTTCTCTAATACAGATCAGCTGTTGTTCTAACACATGACTTTATGCTGGCTCCAGTGACTCTGCACAGCCTTTTGATTAAGTAAGAGGAGTGGAACCATCTGCATTCACTTTATTATATACTTGCCCATTGTTAGGGGACCTTATTTCCACTTCTTGTTCCATCTCCACAATCATACTTTATTTCTCTGATTAGCACCTCTTACTTGGGTTGCAGGAGTGAGAGTTGCCTCTGTTGATAGCTACTGCTTCAACTTTCCTTTCTCTTTTGTAGAGTTATAACAACTTAAAAAAATCTATTTTTTAAATAATACCTGCCAAAACCTGTTGGACAGTTAAGATGTCTCTGTTCTCAAGAAGTTCTTCATTCCTGTATCTTGTCACCATGCACTTTTGATGTAGTTGAGTTACATCTTGAGCTATAGTCTTATAATTTTTTACGTGAAAAACTTAAATTATGAAAGTGAGCACTTTCATTATTGTAATAGTATGACAAACTCTTGTAATGTAAAAGGAAACCTTCTCAACCAAAGGATCTGAATTATCTCATCCCTTATGTTACCCTGACACCTGAAAATGTAATTGAAATTATTGAAACTCTTTGAAGGAGATATTACTATAGTTTGTGGTTGACTTTTCCTGTTGAAATAACTTGAGTATCATTTCTAGAATATAAATGATCAATCTGTGTCTGTGTAACTCATGAAAATGAGATAATAATGTCATACTTATATCTTTTAATTAGTAATTATTGAACATTAGCACATGCTATGTATTAGAGGCTGTGATATGTATTGGAGGTATTGTGTTAAGCCAGAAAATGTGAGTTCTCCCTTTATAGAGCTTACAGTTTGGATCAAATTATTATTTGACTGTTACTCATTACATATTTATGTGTGTGAGCCCACCTATAGAATTGAATAAAGACCTCATATTGCTTAGCATGTCAAATCCGTTATGTACTTGAATTGACAAAGGTAGACACATTTTCTTTCACATGAACCACATGTCCATGTGTATTGTGTTATTTTTCTAATACCTATCGTTTTATTTGAGTTTTATGATCACTCAGTATTATCTATGGCCAATAAATATGTGGATCAGTAATTGGTTTGAAATGTTGCCATAGAGTTTAGGAAAGACATTAAATAATATATGATAAATTCCTCTTACATTTTGTACTATCATCTTCTAGTACTTGAATCCCAAAAGAAGGGCATGTTTTTCTGTCTAAAATAATACTCCCGGCTAGGTGTGGTAGTTCACGCCTATAATCCCAGGACTTCTTTGGGAGGCCGAGGTGGGCAGATCATGAGGTCAGGAGTTCGAGATCAGCCTGACCAACGTGATGAAACCCCGTCTCTACTCAAGATACAAAAAATTGGCCGGACGTGCTGCTCGGGAGGCTGAAGCAGGAGAATGGCTTTAACCTGGGAGGCAGAGGTTGCAGAGAGCTGCGATCATGCCATTGCACACCAGCCTGGATGACTCTGTCTCAAAGTAATAATAATAATATTCCTAACTCCCTAAACCCAGAAAAGATGTGTAAGGTAAGGAGTGTGAGAGATAAAGCAGAAAGAAAGAAGGGAAGGAACTGGGAGAAAGGAACAAAAGAAAAGAGGTCCAACCTGGTGCTTTACATCAACCTAAAAGATACCAGATAATTGGAATCTTGTTGTGGAGGTCTGTTTTCTTAGGCACACAGCCTTATACACATTAACTTTTCTTCACATCTCAAATAGCCAGTCACATGGTTATCCCAGCTAGAAGGTCTTAATTCTGAAAAGCTGTAACTGGACAGTGAAAACAATTAGAGGTGTGAAGATAGAGACCAGTGATTTCTGAGTGATATGTACCAAAACACATCATGAAAGTCATTTTTCCAGAAACACATTTTAATGGAAGACTTGTAAACGATTTTTTTTAATTTCTTTACTTTTCTTGGAAGTGTTTCAACATACCCAAGAACTGTGTGTGTCAGGTTTCTTGGAAACTCTGGGACACAGTGTTATTTGTAATTGTCATCTCTGGTTAGTTGTAGACTGATAGTATATTCAAATAATGCTATCTTTTACCACACAGCTTTGTTACAGATTAGTGTTGTGGATGAAAAAGTAACTTCTCAGGTATGAAGGAACAGAAAGAAACCTCACATATTTTGCTTTGTAAAAAACATACTTTGCTTCATTACCACCCAGATGGCACAATTTTGTTCATAGAGTCAAGGGCAAGTTCTTGAGCTTGTGTTTGAAAGTATCCATATTAATAAGAGATTATAAAAACCCCAGTTTTTGTCGTCCTGATCCTACCAGACAGTGTTAATACAATAGAGGCCCAGTGTCCTCAGCTGAAATGAAAAATAGAACAGAAGCTTTTCTGTTTGTGTCACTCACTCCAATTATAATTATCCTGGGAAGACTGTGCCTATACTGTCATAGCTGTTAGGAATGAGTTTCACTACTTGTATCAGGAAATCTGAATATGGTAGCTTAAATAGTGATTCATTTTTATCATATAATGAAGTTCAGGAGTAGGAGGTTGGTGGCATTAGTTCATCTGCTTGATATCAGAGTTGAAATCTGCGATTCTTTTGACTTTTCCCTTTGGGTCACAAAATCGTTGCACCTGCAGCTATTGCATCCACATAAAGGCAGGCAGACTCAGAAAGCAGAAATCATTTTCTCTTTGCTAACTTCAGGCTTCATTCAAACAGATATTTGATTTCTCTTCTCAAGCTGCCTTCCACAAACATCTCATTGGCTAGAACTGGGTCATGTGAACATCTTTAAGACAGTTATTGGCCGAAGGAAAGAGACTGTTTAAAATTCATCATGAATTATTTTTTAACACTAAATTAGAGAACTAGTTCTATCTTCTCTGAGATCAAGGGATATCTTGAGATCAAAGGTAACATTAGCTGGAGAAAAAAGAAAGACAATGGCTATTGGGTAGGAAAAGGAGATTGTCAGCCACAGCCGCATTATAAAAATGATATCAAATCTCTCAAATATTTCCTTCATGAAACTGGTTTATTTTGTTTGTTTTATAATTGTTGCCATCTATCTATCTTTTGCTTTTCTACTATTACATGTCCAGTGTCTTATACCTTGTCTGGGGTTCATGAAGAATTAAATGACACACAAGCATGTGTACAAGAGACATTGCTTGATGACAGGTTAAATCTGTAAATGTATGTTCACATACATGCCGTATACATGTTAAGAC